GAAGGTGTATGCCAGTTCTGCTTCAGTTATGCCACAGGGCCCCATTGGAAGTAAATGGACCTTGAGGGATGGAAGCAGGCAGGCTCCACTGCAAAACTTAAGAGGAATCGCCGTATGCCACCAATTTTAGCCCATCTGGTGAGGTTGCTAGTTGTCCGAAGATGTCTCATTTGAGAATTAGCCCCACAAGAATTAGGTTGCAGTGAACATTTTCCACATTGAGCTGTAGACCAGATCTGAATGACTCTACCACTTGGCATCAAACCCACAAACCCATTTCTCTTTAGGAATGAATTCTGAAACTGGCCATTCTTATTAAGGATGTGAAATTCCATGCAAAATTTCACAATGCAATAGACTTTTTGAATGGCAATTTTCACATTTTAGAACCTTTTGGAGAAAGTTTTATATCTTTCCCCAAACAATGCTTTTTGCTCAAAATCCATTTTTTTTTTTGTGCAAATGAAATTTTTACAAACGAGTTACAAATTGAAAAACTAAGACTGAATGAAGGTTGACCGATTTATTTATTTTTTCACAGAGTCTCTTGATGAGTTGAGTTACCCTTTCTTGTAAGAATGAGTAAATTGGTTGGTATCAGCCCTGGTTAGAAAATGCTTGACTGTATTTGCTCAGTACTTTCTGAGCTATGACATTAGTGATCAGTTATGGAATGTTGCAGCTCAAAATTTCAAAGAAAGCCAGCTGTGCTTTTGATTCAGTACCAAAAAGAGTTGGCTTTGACCCTCTCCTTGCCATCTGTGTAGAAGGTACAAACTTCTATTGTTCATATACTTCACTCCCATCATAAGTGCCATTTTGGTTATCTCAGATCTGCCTCCAGGGCCATGGGATGTAATTTTGAAACAATAGAAATGATTCCCAAAACCACTTGCAGCCCTCATCTGCTTCTACCACAGCAAACTAATACCATATTTGTGGGTTTAACTATTGCTGGATAGATTATTCACAGATAATATTAATATCTGTGAATAATCTCTCAAGAATTTCTCACTCCTCCAATGTGATATTATGATCAATGTCCTCTGGAAGACAACATAGAGTTCTGCTGGAAGATCTCCAAAGACAATCAACCCCTCTATATGATCAAATGGATGTATTTGTAAATATATTGAGAGGTATATCTTAGAGTCATTCTTGCCTAAGAAAATCCTGTGAAATTCACAGGATCACTATAAGTTGGCAGGCGGCCTTAAAAAACCATGTACACACATGTATTCAGAAAGGGATGGAGCTTCAAATTGCCAATGAACTAATATGCCTAAGGCCATAACAGCATTTTATATAAACAGTTGTGGTAGGCTTGTTAACACTATGGGGTTAAAAGATTGTGAACATGTGCTGGATGATATTTAAGAACTCAAAATAATCACTGCCATATTACTGACACTATTGGAATCAGCAAATAACTGGGGATTAGGTCAATGCGCTACAAATGCTTTCAATACCTCAAAAAACAAGGGACCCTTGGTTGAATCTGAATTACACCCAGGAGAATATTTTTTTTAATTATTCTTTTTTAAAATCCAACTTTTCCCACATATCTCAAGCTATTTTTGAGGCCCCCTTTCATTACAGAAGCACTTTGATGCATGGAAGAGTATAGAAAGAGAAATGTCTACACACAATTTTGTTGTGTAGCTCCTAATCAAAGATCAAAGGTAATCTGTCCTCCATATGGAAGCAATACTGATTTTTGGACATATTCACAACATCTTCGGTGCTGTTTGGTACTAATTTTATGAATATTTTGGAAACTGTGTAGATCGAAAATGTTTCTCGCAATTTAATTGAAACACTACTGCGGTCTGAGTAAATGTCATAAGATTCAGGCGGCCAGGTCAATAATCCTGAAGAATTCAACTGAAGACTCACTTTGGTCATGGAAAGTAACTATGGAATGAATTCAATTAAATCATGAAGAAGATGAGTCTCTTGGACTGCTCATGCTTATGTTTCCTGATTAGAAGCCATGAAAATCCAATGTGAACGTTTCATACCAAAAAAAGAGGAAATTTCATATTCTAAATTCAAAAGCAGCTCACTCTACAACTATTGTCCTAGAACAGTTATTCCCAGGTATTTTGGCCTACAACTCCAAGAAATCCCAGCCAGCTGTTGGATTTCTGGGAGTTGAAGGCCACAACATCTTGGGACTCACAAGTTGAGAACCACTGTCCTAGAACCTAGATTTATTGTACAAAATATTTATTTCTCACCTTCCTGTAAGTGTTCTTGTGCTAATACATACCATATAACATATAACTAATTAAAGTTCAATAAAAGTATATCATGAAGAGCTGACACTCAACTACTAAGGGATTCATCACGGACTTTCAGTACAATCCTGTGAATGTTTATTTGGAAAGTTTAGGATTTACAACATCAAAATCAATGGGATGTTTGTTTAAAAAAATAAGCATCAGTTGTGTATTATCTTAGACTAGAAGGAAATTCTATTGTGAGTCCTAACTAAAGGAGACCCATTGAGCCAGTTGGATTTACTTCCATCAACTTGCAATTCAATGGTCCTACTTTTCTTTGAGATTCTAGCCTATAGGGATTTCCTATAATGCTGGCATATAGAGAAGCGGGTTTGAGCCATTTTCAACAAAAATTAGTTGTGTTAGAGTATTGTTAAGGTTTCCAGGTGTTTCTTGATTTATTTATATGTGCATCTTGCCCTTCCATGAGGATCGCCCAGTGCAGTTGATAAGTTGTACAATTCACAATAGAATGTGGATGTTTAATAATACTAATACTAATAATAATAATAATAATCCACAGACAAGTTTAAAATCCCTGTAAAATTACCATCAATACTCAGCAATAATATAATTACATGACTTGCCTGTCCTCCCAAAAGCTCTGGTAGATATATTCTATGTTATGTAAATCTAATAAATATTTGAAAACGTGTAGTACAACTTACTGTATCAGACCAAGGCTCCATTTAACTTCATTCTTCCTAACGAAATTCCATCGGGAGCCCATAAGCAAAGCACAACTGAGAAAGCCTGAACTCCTGTTTTGCCTTGCAAGTATAGTATTTTTGAAAGCGAGCCAGACCTGGAAAGCAAACTTGTATAACAGTTACTTTTTGTGCTGTTGTACAGCTCTGTAAAAACAGATGGACAGTGGAATGTACCAAAATAGTTCCTGTGATATGAGATTTCTGAGTTTCCTTCTTTCCCCTTTCAAAAAAAAAAACCAGTTAATTTTCTCTTTGATTTGATTTCACAGAAGTTTAAGGGCTTTTTAAATCCCTTAATGTTGTCCTTCAGATTTAAAGAGCTGTCATTCTTAAGTGTTATTCTTCCACCATTAGGTACACTATATCTTTTGATGGCCACTCCATGTATCATGTTAGCTAACAGAATATAGTGCCAAAACTTGCCAAAGAAGACTTCATGCTTGAAAGATACAGATGTCCTACACGCATGAGTTTCTGAGAAGCTTCTGTAGATAAGGTTCTGCAAAGATTTGCCTGGATGTACAAAAACTCTAAAGGAGAGCGCTTGGCTCCAAGATTGCAACCACAGCTGCAGCAATTGCCGATTTATGCCAAAGCTTTAACAACTGTGGATGTTAAACTGTCCGTGGCTTGAAACTCTGGGCTGCCGAGAATAGGCCCTGCTATGCTCCACCTAAAGAAATGATCCAGCATGCTTGTTTCAGTTCCTCACGGACTGTATTCCTTGCTTGCCTACTGTATATTTTAACCATGAATACGATTGACATTTGATCAGATGTTTGGCCTTAAGGCAATGAAAATGGCACTTTCAAAGCAAGTATGCATAACATGGAGAGTATTCCTGAATTCCTCCAAAACACACTAATAACTATGGAAAATGTCACCTCTTGTTCACTGTTCCATTTGGAATGGACTCCTTGTCTAGAACCGTGGCTTCCGGTTTCTTTAAACTACTGCTAATGATCCATCAAGAATTAGATGTTTCACTTGAGTAATGAAAAGTTAACTTCTATTGAATAAGAACCTCAGTCCATTAGATCCAGTACTGTTTTCCCCATAGTTCTTTCTCATCACCTGATAGCTCATATTTAGGGTTTATATGGTATATCCCTGAGCTATAGTCCACATCTTCTGGTCTGGTGTCAATATCAAAACTATTTCCTGGTGGGAATCCATGCTCAAAGTAGCAACTTCCTTGTGAGCTTCTGCTACTGCTAAATTAGATCATGCTTCCATTTCTGTTGCCTACAGAAAATGTGTTGAGATCTAGAATGCTTAAATCTATTTCAGATCTAAGGACAGATAATTATTGACAACATTGTCCATCGCTCTTTCTGGGAAAGCATCATCAGATTGGGCTGTCCTGGTTTAACTGGTTCCCAGGCCAGCTAGCCCACAGACCACAATTGCTTCAAACATTACTACTTGGGAGCCACAGTTTTAGAGACTGGAGCCATGCATGTTGTTTCCTCACAGTTCATCACTGCATCACACATAACCGTATGCCAAAGAGGCTGCCAAGGCCCTTTCAACTTTAATGATTAATGCGTGCGCATAGACATTGTTATCCTTGTGGCGTGAATGCGTGTTCCTAATACTATCACTATAAACTAATGTTTCTGAAAAGCTGTATGCTTAAGCTTTTGGAAGATCAGTGCACTGGTAAAGCAAAGGTGATTCTTGAGTTCCGGAAGGTAAGAAGAAACCTTTTAGTCCCGCGCACAGGCTAAGAGTTGAATGTTCTAGTACAGCTGTGTCACCGATTTCCTTTTTCTCTAGCTGTTTCGTGTACAGTTCTGTGCCTATCACGTTCTTAAATCTTTGTGATGAGCGTATCGTAACATAACAGAAGTTTCTTTCTTTCACTCCCCCCTTGGCGTATGTATCTAATCCTTCTCTCGTCGCTTTTCTTTGCATGCTTTTGGAGTACAATTAGCTGTGCAATCGATTGGTCGTGCATGTTAACGCCCGTCTAATCTCTTATTCTTGTCTCTGTTATCACCAGGCCTCCTGAACCTGTTTACAGCACTGTGAACAAATTCTGTGATAAGCCACCTTCTCCTAGGCACTATTCCCCTGTCGAGTGTGACAAAAGCTTCCTCCTTTCAGCTCCCTATCCCCACTACCACATAGGCCTGCTCCCTGACTCTGAGATTATCAGGTACTGCATGCGCTTCTTCCTCACTTCCTCATAGTACAATGCATGAACGTTGCTCAAGCACACTGGAATTAAGCTCCATCTTCCACCCGTGCAGTAAAACTCCTTCCACAAAGGCTTGTTTTACTTGGCTTCCACCTCACTCAGCTCACAGCTGCCTTAAAATGTGCTGTCTTCCATCAACAGGGTTGGGTTGGGGGAGTTGGCAGCTATGGTAACGTTGAAGGGCTACGAGGTGGAAAACAAGACAGTGTTGGATCACTGGCCCATTTAGCCCAGTGTTGTTTATTCCAAACAGAATTGGTGCTCCATACTTTGTACTAAATCGATTGATAGATTGGGTTATTGTAGGGTTTTGGGGCTATATGGCCATGTTCTAGAAGCATTCTCTCCTGATGTTTCACCTGCATCTTTGGCAAGCATCCTCAGAGGTTGTGAGGTCCCAATCTCTGAGGATGCTTGCCAGAGTTGCAAACAAAACGTCAGGAGAGAATGCTTCTAGAACATGGCCATATAGCCTGAAAAACCTACAACAACCCAGTGATTCCAGCCATGAAAGCCTTCAACAATAGACTGATAGATTTTTTTTAAAAAAAGAATATGAATCTGGGCTCTATCATGGAGGGATAAATCTGCAAGGGATAGAAAAATGGTTACCTGGGTTGGATGATCATCTGTTGGGCTGATGACTCAGGTCCATTAGATTGTTATCTACTGAACTGATTACTTTAATCCAGTAGATGACTCTACTGGATTAGAGTCATCAACCTCAGCTAAATGAACTTCAGTGGTTGTTTCAGAGCTTGGGAAAATGTGGACAGTTTGTCCGTGGGTATGTGGTCCACAGCAGAATCTCAGAGTTGTATCTTTAAAAGTACATCTTCCAAGCTTTTCCAGAGGTGCCTCTGCACCTTAGAATTAAAGCACTTTGACACCACTTTTACTGCCAAGGCTCAGTGCTATAGAATCATGGGAGTTGTAGTTTGGTGAGGCACTCTTCCAAATTTGGTTAGCATTTTTGCCAGAGGCATAATCTGGATTGCACATCTCTTGTATGACCAAGAAGTACCATCAAAAGGCTCTTTTTAAAATTCAAAATAAAAATATGGGATAGATCAGGTAAGGGTAAACTTCAGCCCTCAAGGTGTTTTGGACTCCAACTCACACAGTTCCTAAGAGCCTACCAGCTGTTAAGAATTGTGGGAGTTGGAGTCCAAAACACCTAGAGGGACAAAGTTTGCCCATGCCTAGGATAGATTGTACACACTGTTTCAAGAAGTATCACTTCCTATGTAAATCTGACCAAGTGTTGATAGCACTATCTTACATTTATTAATGCTCCTTGTTGCTGCGCTATCAGTAGTGTGACTGATCAACATAAGAGGAAGGACTACTGATAGTAAGGATTTTAACTTGGTCCTGTCTTTACTCACTTTGAGATGGGCAGTAAAAATCATTTTGTTTTGCCAGAGGGTTGGCTCCATCTGTGGATGTGTTTCTTTTCATTGCTTGCTGCATTTTTCCATCATGTTTTTGCTTGTTTTTGGTCAATGCTTCTTTTGAATTTACTTTTTTCTATCCCTCTTATGTGTTTTAAGATCTTATGTTTCTAAGAATGGCAAGAATAGTTAGCATGGGACCATTCATGACTGCTATATGGTCAAAGCATGACCAGCCATCATAAAATAGCAAGCTGTAGACCTAGTAAACTGTATGCTTCTTGCTCATGGAATCTGTTCTGGAACTTCATATCCATGACAGAGTTATAGTACTTTATTTCTGACATCCTGGTTCCATGGTGATGTTTTCAAACACTTCAGATGATCATTGTATCAGCATTGTGCAGCACAAATCTCCATGTGTGGAAATATAAATGCATTGTGCTGTTGGACCTCCGAGTGTGGTGGAAGCTCCTTCCTTGGAGGCTTTCAAACAGAGGCTGGATGGCCATCTGCCGGGGGTACTTTGATTGTGCTTTTCCTGCATGGCAGAAGGGGGGTGGACTGGATAGCCCATGTGATCTCTTCCAACTCTATGATTCTCTTTCAACTTTAATTGAATTTTTGAAATGGCCAGAATATAAGTCACACACACATTATAAATATGAATATATTTATATTTAGAAAGTCAGCAGCATAGTGTAGTGGTTTGAATGCTGGTCAGGACAAACACATTTTCACAAAGCAGATAGCTACATATCCTCCATTTCATCTGAGGAATAAAGCAATTTATTGACACAAAAAAGACTGATACTGACACTGAAACTGGCTGATTTGGCTTTGTGTTCTTTCTGGAGCAGCTTTTAGCACTGTCCTTAAAGGGACGCAACCAGTAACATCATAGGAATCTCCCTCAAGGCAAGTGTTAGTAGGCTTTGAAAAGGCTGAGAGATTTTCATGTCTGCAGCAAACAGATTTCATTCATTCTCTGTAAAGATGATACTCTTCCCCCATCTTCACTTTGCTTCCAATGCGTAACACAGTGTGCTAAGAGCTGAGCTGAAGGGAGCTGCAGAGGCATCCTCGAAAGCGTGGAGGGAAAAGCCTGCCTCTCAGGGAGATGTGAATCAGCTCAACTCCGAAGGATGGAATTTAGCTTTAATTAAGGGATTAGGATGGAGCAGCAACACAGGCAAAAGCTGTGTTAATCCACTGAATCAACAGTTTCATACAGGTTGAGTCTTCCTTGCCTGGAAATCCAAAATCTGTAATACTCCCAAGTGCAACACAAGGCATAGTGGTGTGTCCATTTTACCACTCTTTTGCACCATATTGACATTGTGCGACCTATTGCCTGCATTTGCTTATTGCCCCCCATGTTGCAACGGGATGTGTGAAATAACTGTCTGCCATCCCAATGAAAAAGGTAGTGTATTGAAGGTACTGTCAATGGCAAATAGTTATCTAGCCTCCAAGCATGTGCAATGTAAGGATTACCCTTGTGAAACTCTGCTTGTGCTACTTTGAATTGAATATGGAAAACAGAGGGCCAAAATAATGCAACCACATGTGTAAGGGAGTGTATGTGCATGAAACACCCAACAGGATGGCAGTCATAGGCACAACATTTTAACAAGGCATTCCTGAAATTAAGAGCAGCTTCACCAGGGTACTAATTGCATAGAAAGTAGACATGTGTATTTGGGGTAAACCTTGCCCCGTTTTATCTCCCAGCTTTCATTGGAGGCCCTGATCCATTTTTTGTGAGCTTCCCAAAATCAGGAGGGTGGTGTTCAGTTCTTTAGGTTCAGGGCCCTGAAAATCAGACCATTATGGGAGGGCTTCCCAGTCACTAGCTCCCCTTCCTGGCATGCATTCTTCTTGCCTGGCACCTGCTTTTTTTACTCTAGATTAAGAGGTGCTTGGCTGTAGGCACTGGTAGGCATGCACGATTTCCGGGCCTGCCTGCATGCCCCTCTCCCCGAGAGTGCATGTGTGGCAGGGCATGCAGGTGGGCGCACCTGCAGCCGAACTCGGCCAGCCTGCCAGCATTCCTCATCCCACATGCACTCTCTTTCCAAGACAAGGAGGAAAGTTCAGATGCACATGAAACCAAGCTTTTGTGTCGAGCAGATTTTCATGTGGGGAGGGGGCTTCTCATTTCGTGCTTCCGAAGAAATTGTAGATATGAAAGAAAAAAAAGCCAATGGGATTTTGGCCTGCATCAATAGGAGCATAGTGTCTAGATCTAGGGAAGTAATGCTACCCCTCTATTCTGCTTTGGTTAGACCACACTGGAATATTGTGTCCAATTCTGGGCACCACAATTCAAGAGAGATATTGACAAGCTGGAATGTGTCCAGAGGAGGGCGACAAAAATGATAAAAGGTCTGGAGAACAAGCCCTATGAGGAGCGGCTTAAGGAGCTGGGCATGTTTAGCCTGAAGAAGAGAAGGCTGAGAGGGGATATGATAGCCATGTATAAATATGTGAGAGGAAGCCACAGGGAGGAGGGAGCAAGCTTGTTTTCTGCTTCCTGGAGACTAGGACGCGGAACAATGGCTTCAAACTACAAGAGAGGAGATTCCATCTGAACATGAGGAAGAACTTCCTGACTGTGAGAGCCGTTCAGCAGTGGAACTTTCTGCCCCGAGTGTGGTGGAGGCTCCTTCTTTGGAAGCTTTTAAACAGAGGCTGGATGGCCATCTGTCAGGGGTGATTTGAATGCAATATTCCTGCTTCTTGGCAGGGGGTTGGACTGGATGGCCCATGAGGTCTCTTCCAACTCTTTGATTCTATGATTCTATGATTCTGAAATGATAGAAACAGTAGGAATGAATTCCATGCACAACTCTAGTAGAAAGGGGACAGGATCTCTTTCTTTGGACATCTTCAAAAAGAGGCTGGACAGTGACTTGCTGGGGATGCTGTAGCTGGAAGTGAATCCACAGTGATTCATCAAAAGTAGAGTACTATCTCCCTGGATCATTAAAACGGCTCATAGCCACCATTACTTTTTGCTACCAGTGTGAAATGCACATTAAAAAATCAACACTGAAGGGATTGTGTTTTGAGTAGACTGATAATTAATCCGTGAACAAGAATTTCATTTCAAGTTGGAAACTGTCTGCTGTGACAAACAAACTGGGTTCTGCTTCAGTGGACTGTTTTGTTTTTTCTCCTCTTTCTTATAAATGCAGGTTAAATGCATTAAGGAAGAAAAAGTCTTTGATTTATTGGCTCACTGCTTTGCTTTCAAATCTGGCTGAGAACAAAACAAAAAACCCCTGAGGTTTGAGACAAGAGGAGGGGGTGGGGAGACATATGAATCCTATGAACTGCTAGCTAAAAGGATTCTGTAAACTTTAATCCAGAAAATATATAACTTTGTCAAAGCCCTGACTAGAGCTTACATGATGCAGGTTCCTTGAACTGCAGTGGTTAGTGGTTGAACAGCACTAATACACCGAGTCCCTTCATGTTAATACTCCAGTAGGATCCAAATAAAACAATGATAAAATCATAGGGCTGGAAGAGATCACATGGGCCATCCAGTCTAACCCC